ATTCAGTACCTCAGCCTTCTCATCCTTAGTAACAAAGTTCCCCCTCACATCCGATAAAAGGATGCTCCCTGGTCCTTTTTTTGTTGTTAATATATTTGTAAAAACACTACTTATTGTCCTTTGCAGTGGTGGCCAGGCTGTGTTCCAGCAGAGCTTTTGGGGGCAACGTTTTTCTACACGACCTAACTAATTGCCTGTACTATCCCCGAGCATCCTGCCCCCTCTTCCAAAGGTTGTAGCCTCTCCTCTTCTTCCCAAGTTCTAGCAAATGCTTCTTGTTCAGCCACAACGGTTGTTTTCCCCACAAGCTTGGCTTACAGCACATGGGGACAGCCTGCTCCTGTGCCCCTAAGAGAATCTCCTTGAAAAAGGTCCAGCCTTCCAGGACCCCTCTGCTCCTTGTTCTTCCAAACAAGTAACCATGTTGTGTTTGGAACCAGCTACAATAGTTCAGTATAACAGCTCTAACAGAAGTAATGTAACCATGTTCTGAAGCATTTCTTAAATCATTAGTAGTACCTGAGCAGCATCAATCTTCTTAGCAATTGCCTGCTTAGAGTTTGTCATGGCCTCCAATTTGCGGGCTGCATTCTCCACTTTTGCAGTGAGCAAATCCAGACCTTGTGACACCTGCTGAGCTTTCTGCATAGCCATGGGTGTACCACCCTGTCCTCTGCCCAAGACAAAAAGAGCATCACAGATTCAGCTCATGATTGAACAAAGTTCTTTTCAAATGAAGAGATAACAAAAACTGTTTATAAGCATTCCAATCATTCCAAGAGATACAATTTTTATTCAGATTTTTTCCCCCTGGGAGAGGAAAAAGAAAAAAAAAGAAAACTGAGGAGAGCAACAACAGCAAGAAAATTTACAACTAAAAGCATATCCTCCCCTTTCCAGATTTCAACATAAAGCTCATTCTCCTGAGGATGCCAAAAGTGTCAAAAAGTAACACCATCTGAGGATACAGTTCCATTAAAGTACCCAGAGCGACGCCTGTTAGCCCCTCATTTACAGGTTGCTCCAAGTTGGTCAGAACCTGTAGGAGTTCTATTTCCCCATATGTGAGGTCAGCAAGTCTGTAAGCAAAAATGAGATGCCTCAGTTGCTTCAGTCATGTTGCCAAAGAAAACTGAAGGTTCCAGGCTACTGGTAAGGCTTCTTAAAATGTTGAAAAGGATGCTAGCAGTACAAATTTACAGAAAACAACTTGCCATACTACCAGAGTTTGTTCAAATACTTAGGAGTTAAAACTGAATAGAGAAATTAATTCAAACACATACTTCAGAACATTATTTTTGCATAAGAAACTCATACTCCATTCCAAAATAACCTGACTACTGGGAAGTCTTTTTAGTTTGATAAACTTAACATGCTCAAAAGACCAGAGTAAGTGGTAGGATGACAAGCATGCTGCTGAGATGCTAAGGTGTATCTACAGAGTCAGACCATAGTCTCAGGATAAATCTCTTCATACTTTATTTCTCACAGGCTGAGCTGAAGTTACTTACACATTAAACCAGCACATATCAACTAATTTGTTAGTAAATCTTAGCCTTGCCTCTTCCTCCAAAAATTTCACACAATACAAAGCTGACATCAGCCACTGCTTTACAAAGAAATTAATAGTTCAGCCTAATCTATAACACCCCATGCAAAAACTGCTACAAAGAACCTCTTACGTTCTCTGAGGTCAATCAGCTGAAGTAAAACTAAAACCAGCTTCTCATTCACTACTGCTGCTATAGCTAATATATATCATTTTAATGACAATATAACCAGTTATTTCTGAATTTTGTCCTTTTTTAGCCTTTATATAGCAAACTATGAACTCTTCATGGTACCAAGTTATAAAACTATTCCAAGCTTGTCTGCATATTGCAACACTTGAGAACCTGTCAGTCTATAGATTTAAAGTGACAGCAGAGAATTCTCTCTTAAGGTAATTCAAAACACAGTTGTCCAAATTATTTAATCTGTTCACTTCCTGAACTTTACTAGGGCCTTAAGTCAGAAGCAGCACTATTTTACCCAAAAGCTTTTTCTTTTTTCAGACTAAAACCCCTTAATTTTTATCGCATTTTCTGACAACCTGAAAGACACATGAACACATAAGAGAAAACATTACAACACAAAACCATTATCCTTATCCATGGATCCGAATGGATGGCAGTAAAGAGTTTTCTGGGGTTTCCAGGTGTGGTATTTTGGGGAGTTTGAGAAGGAGTGTTAAAATAAGAAAACCAGTGTTAGAGCACTCTGAGACCTTAATGATTTACTACATTGATAAGCAGTTGAAAAATATACTAGGTTCAAACTACACAGAACATTCACTTCTTACATCACTGTCTTCATGCTTTCACAAAAGAATGTCATACTTCCTGCTTTCTAGCTAAAGAATAAAAGGCCATAGTACCTAACCTTCAAAAAACAATTGATTTAAAAAGACTCATCTGCTGCCTAAAAAGAAAACCCCTTAAATTCAATAACCAGTTTCTAATAGGGAGGCAGAAAACTGATAAAGGACTCTGGTTAAATAGGACCATGCAAAAAATGCACATGAAGTTCAGCAGAATTTATCAGTGACTGATCAACAACTACTGCGTGTGGTCTAATATCCCAGTGAACACCTAAAAACTAGAATATTCATGTATCCTATTAACCATTGAGGTGTATCCTCTTTGCAGAGGAGACAACAGTAGAGTTTAATATTTCATTTCTGCCTAATCTGGAGGAACACTGTTTGACATTAAACTCTGAATTATCTACCTGAGCAGTTTTATTCATGTCATATAATTAAGATTTCACATATTAAAACATATTGTTCTTATCTGAAGAGACTGAAGCAAAACAGACGAAACACAGCTACTGCCCTGCTCTCCTACAGGTTAGGAAGTGACAACTTCACGTTTAGAAAAACTGTTTTAAATAGTACTGGAAAGCTGTCCATTAAAAGTGATAGATTTACCTAGCTCGGAGGTCAGCCAGTTGATCAGTCATCTGGCCCAGTGTTTTGCATGTTCCCAGAATCTCCCTGCGTTCCTTGCCTGCACACAGTTCTCCTGCTTTTCCAGCTTCATCAAGGATCTGCCTTATTGCCTGCTCACCAGCGTCCCCTAAGATGCAGAGTCAGTTAGTAAAACAAACCAGACATTCCTTGACACCTGTGAGTAAACTGCTAGTCTCATATCCCACCACATTAACTGCATTAGCTTCAGCCATGAAAATCAAAAACTTGCTTTACCAAAAACTATGAGATAAACACCAAATGTGGCAGTTACAATGGGACAGTATTTCTGAAACAATATAGTATAACCTCAGTGTGTAGCACATACCATTTAATTGTATTTCAAGTAATTTAATAGTTTTGTTATCATAGCCTAATTTCTGTGAATACTTAATTTATAGAATCTGAAATGCAGCCTGAGAAGGTAAAGAGCAACATACTAAGGTTCATGTAGCCTTAACTTCGGCTAGTGGCAAGTCTGACTTGACTTTGGCTAAAGGAGATGCAAGAACAACATTCCTTTTACTTGCAGCATACACTTGTACCATAAGTAACACACTCAGTAAAATCTGATTTGCACTAAGTTCCAAAATTATCTTTGCATTTGTTCTTTGCTACTGAATTTTTAACAATTTATTTCTTTAATTGTCAGTGTGAATGACAAAGCTTTGAAAAGAACTTTGAGGTTTCTGGAATTGACTGTGGTGAGGCTAATGAGGTCATAAGTAGTGTAATCAGCAGCTCCACAGATAACAACAATCCACTTCCAACTTTTACAACTGTACTATTTTGGCTTCGATTTCAGAAGAAATCTTTCAGATAAGATCTTTCAAAGTCCAAATGAAAGTCAAGTTTTATTTGCTTTAAAGATGCATCCACAGGAAAAACCTTTATTCAAAGGTGTTTATAGTTATAGTATTTATGGCAGATTTTCATGTTAAAAATTTCCTGTCAAGACTGAAAGAAAAATATTCAAGAGATTGCTAGATAAATCTAAAGTTATACAAATTTGAGACCATAGTAAGAGGTATTCCAAGTACTGGCAATCACTGCAGTTAAATACCTCCCAATGCAATTTATGGGTGTTTGGTTTTACTAGTGGAATGCAAAGAAAAACCATGTATGTCACACAGACTGCATTACTTAGACAACTGAAAAGAAGCAAAGCTTTCCAGGTTATTAGGCACAACTTGTTCAATCTTTATTATCTAGAGAAAGGAATAAATAGGGGCTTCTTCAGAACCATCTACTAGGTATTGGTTATTAATGCTTAAAGGCAATTTTGTCTTACACAACAAAATTATTCAGACCTTTAAAAATCAAAATACTTTGTGCTGTTATTTTTAAATTTTACCTGGAGGTGCATTTGGATCTCTCAGCCAACCTTTTGCCTGATTCATCTTTGAATCTATTAAGGCTAAAGCTCTTTTCATGGCTTCAGTGTCCTTTACAAAAGAGAAACCACCAAAATGATTCTCAAAAAAGTTAAAACACAAATAGTCAACACAGCCAAAGCAGACAGCATAATTTACTTACAGAAACACATCCATATAAGCAGCTCAAAATCCATTTTCAAACTAGCAGGTCATAATCACTTCTTTCCAATTAAGACAGACATTTTTATTTCACTCAAAATGCAGAAAATACACATGCAATTTTAGTAATTTTTCTATTCCTTTTTTCACTAGTGTTTTAATTTCTGAAGTCTGAGTTCTAATAAGCACACATCTTGGAGTTAATTTCCTTTTTTTTTCCTTAATGTACATCAGGGCACATAGAAAAGCTGTAACAATTAGATTAGAGTTAACCTTTCAAAACCAGAAAATGGACAGTGAATTTTACTACTTCAGTGTAAGAGGCTAGAATCAGCATTTTTCACCTGCTTTGCTGCTTAAAGTGAAACAGCTGGTGTTTGCAGAAAAACAGACTGCCAGCTAATTCCTGGAATTTTCAAATATGGAATTTAATGTCTCAGGAGACAAACACATGTAGTCACACGTGATCATTTTAAAGTCAGAACTCCTCTGCCAGGAACGTCATAGAAGCTGCTTCTTTGACTATTATGCTGCTATTATCCAACACCTCTGACTACAGAAGAAAACAATTCAGTTCTCATTCCTCTGCATACTCTGTAATAGTTCACATGTCATCTCTCCACTAGAGGCCAGAAGTTTTCCATCTTACACAAATGGGAAAAGTGAAAAGTCTAACAACTACCTTAAGTAGAAAGTTGGGGAAAAAGCCAAAATAGCTTTTTACCACACATGTTGTGGAAATAATTTGAAATGCATCTAATATCCCATGATTAGTATACAAATGATGAAAAGAAGCCTGGCTCTTGTGTTATTAACTGCATTGTACAGTCCATGTCCCACAAACTCTCATGTGGAGAAGTCTACTAGCATTAACTATCATTAATTGATACAGTGTATGATATCCTGACAACACAAAACAACTGCCACATTTTTGTGGAGTTGTTTGTTCTGTATGCTTAGTCACAAAGACACATCACCATAAAGATTCTGGCGTTTTTATTCAGGCACGTTGGTCTGCCAGCTCCTCATTAGGTGCTATAATATAGTTCAGCAACCAACTTTCTAAAAGGTCCTGTGACACTGCTGAATATTTTTAAGGGCTCTTGAATCACAGCCTCAGGGAAAGCATCGAGATCAGAATCATTTCCATCTGGATGACTGGTTCTCAAACCTAGAAACTGAGTCTCAGAGATGAGGTCAGGACTTCATGAAGGGTAGGATATGAGTACCTTCTTTGAAAAGTTATCTTCTTTATAGCTTGACGATTGTGCATCTAATACATGTTAAGAGCCAAGCAAATAATCACTGAAGTATTCAAACGTACATAAAACGGCTTACTGGCTATGAAAGTAGCTGTTGCAGTTTTCTGTTGGTTTATATACAGGCTGAAGGTACTTTAGTTTGTAAAATATGGTCTACTGCAGGCCTGACTATCCAGAAATCATTTGAAACAATGAACTAAATGAGTTTTTTAAAAGGCAACAGATGTTGCTTAGTGTGTTGGGACAATAGGTGTGGAATGGCTGAAAAAAGGAGTGTTGGGAAAACTGTCTTTGCCCCTCCCTTCTTACTAACACAGGCTTTTGTTTTGCCTCAGCTGCCTGCAGAGTTGTAGTTTCAGCAAAATTATATAGAAGCCTCTGAATCTAAAATCTTCTATCAGAGGACAAAATCAAGGGTATTTTATACTCAGAGTTTTTTAATTGCTAGCACTACTCAAGCAGTAACAGGATCCATCTTTCCTATCCTATGAAGGCTAGACCAACTGTATTGCTCTGCAGTGTGCATCTTCATGTCCTATGTGGCTCTGCACTTGTTTCCAAAATATTGTCCCATTTTTCTATTTAAAACAAAATCTGGTGAAATCCTCGTGTAGCAGTTCAAGTGTTCCAGGACAACTGCTCTTAAAGTAAAGATTTCACAGCTTTAACTGCCAGAGCAAGGAATCCCTCTCAGCTCTGGTCTGATAAGGAGTTTCACTGCAATGAGACAAGTAATTTTTAATTAAGAAATTACAACACATCCTTAACTAGGTTTGTTGGTACTGCACTTTTGCTTCAGTGACAGATGTGTCTAGTGTCAGATACCTGGCAAGCAACAAAGGCATGGCAATCCTGAAGTGTCTGGACTTATCCACCAATTCAGGCTATTAAGCAGGCAGACAGAAGTAGAAATACTCAGTTTAAACAAACAAAGACTTGTTCACATTCTTACTGCTTGGAAATGTCTTGACATTCCTGATTTCTAGGGCTGTTTAAATGCCTTGTCCCTTCCTAAACAGCTACATATGTTTAACATTTTACTCTCTGGGATTTGCTGACAGAACATAAATTGCAAGCCAAGAAAGAAGAAAGCCTACAGATACCCTGCAAAGAAGTTTCCGAGTAGTTTTATCAGCAAAAAAGGTTTACTTCCCTCCACTTCCCACAGTTCCCCCTCTTGGCAAAAGGAATTTCATTAATAAAAGCAGTGTTATTACCTTTTTAGAAGAGACAAACAACTTAAGTTACATCAGGTTAAACAACTAGGGCAATGTTGTCTGAAAGGAAAAATGCGAGTTGACATTTTGCAAATCAGTTTCTGAAGCAAATGACCATTTACTTGAGATATGTTTATCCATCACTTCTGCCACAACCAAGAACTTTGAGATTACTCATGGAGCAGTTGATACCAGCACTGCTTTGAAAAGGAGAAAAATAAATCCTACACAATCCCTTACTGGATATAAAACACAACCTCTGACTCAATAAAGTGGTCTGGTCTAGTGATATCTGCATTTCATTACCAAAGAAGGCAATGTTGAAGGAAGTGGGCAAAGCCAGTCTTTTGGCAGAATAGATAGCTTAGTCACCACCCAGGGTTCAATCCTGTAAGATACTAGATACTTCTCAGCTTCCTACAACTTTTAAATCCCTCCATTTCTGTGGAAATAGAAGATGCTTGAATTGAGTATTACTTCAAGCTTATTTTACTATAAACACTAGTAACATACACAAGAAAGCTAAAATACTCTGTAAAATGAGAAGTTCAAGAAAAAAGGCTACAGAGCTATGAGTGGACAAAATTAACAGATTCTCCTCCCACTCCCAAGATTTTGTCAGATCAAGATTTGATCAGTATTTAAATTCTAAATCAGAATGCTGTTAAAAAATTTAATGTTGGTGCAAGCAGAGATTTTTGAAATCCTATAACAGTAATGTACATTTCAGAGTCCAGAAGGACAAATAGTTTACAAAAAAAGACTACAACTGTGGCTCCATACACTTGTTCATTCTCTACTACCTCTAGGCAGATTTTGTGATACTTAGATGTATAGAGTTCAAGACAGAATAATAACTATAAACTCCAATATCAACAATAGCATGTACGACAAGTAAAACTTCAAGGCCATGCATCCCCAAACAAATCTTACTTGGCTTCATAAAAGCATGTAGAAAATACCTTTCCCTGGACTGCCAGGCACAAAATGCATGCAACAATAATCTCGAGTAGAAGTAAAGAGTTCCTAAGTCTTCCTCCCATAAAAATAAATCAACTGTTAGATATAGATGCAAATACAGGACAGGTCTGTAACAGATGGCCATGAGCAAACTAGCTCCTGCTTCATCCCACTGCACTTTTCAACTCATTCCTTTTCATAACTGCTTGGTTCACATCCAGTGCTACAGTTCCATACTGTCAGTGCACTTTAACTCGAAACCAGCATACAGTTAAGAAGTTCTTAACTCAGAACAGAATGATACTTTGGTTTTACTAGTCCACAAAGAATATGCATTACACATAATGACCAGTATTTGGAAATGCTACTAATACATGAACGATTTTCTTAACAAAATCCTTTCTTAATCTGCCTTGCTACCAAGAGGAGTAAAAATTTCCTAGGGCTAGACTGTCAACCTTTTGCAACAGTCATTTTTCACCAGAAAACTTTCCAAATTCATTGTGTAAAATAAAACTATTTTTATTTCATAAAAATACAGGAATTCTTAAATCCAAAAATAAAACAGAATTGAAAAAATGCACATCCAAAGCTGAAGTTGTCGACCTAGATCTGAACAACACAAACTGTTTGAACTGAAGGAAGGCTGCTGGTGAAATACTATGGAATGGACAAAATTCCTGATTTAATAAAGCTTTCTGGGCATGCAGGAACTTGATCCTGCACAACTAGACACTTTATTTGTAGCTACAGAGAGTAGTAACATAAATTAAGACAAAAGCATTCAGCAAGAATGTGCTCTAAAATCTTGGGCTAACTCAAATCAGACTCAGAAAGACAGTTTTAATGCAGTTCAGCTTGCAATTACCATTCTCTTAGTGACAGCCAATTCTACATATAGCTGGACAGAACTAGTAAGATCCTTTTAAAACTTCCATGTGTACATATGTAAGTATGGTGTCACAGCTGGCACACAAAAAAAGTTGCACAGCAGAGTCTGCACACAGCACAAAATCCCACATGCATGCTTTTTTTGGTTTTAGTACAAGGTAGAGGTGTGGGGTGTGGAAGAAAGCTTACCTTCTAAAGGTGAGAGAAGGGTAAGAAACAGGAGAACAAAAACAAAGATGCATAAAGTAGTCAAAATAAGGAAGTGATTGTGACAAAACTCAAAAGGCAAACTAAGGGTCAAGTGCAGAACTATGTAGGTCAAAGTGATTTTAATGCCTAGATTACAACAGTGTTAGATTTTCTGCAAGATTTCATTTCTTATGAAGTTTGGCTTCAGGTTTCAATATTTTCTTTAAATATATTTACCATGAATTGTTGCTCATAGCAGTAATGGTTAAAAAAAAAAAGCCCTTCAGTTTGGATCAAGGTACTGAAAGGTGGTGGTAATTTCAGTTACACTGCTGAATTTATGTGTAAGCCCACAACACCACTTCTGCAATTCTGTCTCAGACCCGTGTTATGGTCTGCTAGAGATTTCAGTATCTTCAGTGAGCATTGCTTAAGAGCACCACTTAAATCCAGTAAGTGGCTGCAGTCACTTACACAGATGAGCACTGAGTTGTACGGAATCGATACTGATACTGTCCACACACCAGCTTCACAGACATCATACATGTCCAGAAAGGCTGCTCAGTCTAACACATATTTCTGAGACAAGGCAAACACATGAAATGTACTCCCATGTTCAGACTAAAAATGGGCAAAAAGGAGAAGTGTTCAGGTAGGGATCAAAAAACATTGATTAAAGTTTCTCAGCTTCAGCCTTTTGTATGAGGAACTTTTTCTACCTAACTTTCCTCTGTCAAATATGATTATGTAGGGTAGCTAAGCTAAATTTTGAAAGATCCATCAGTATAATAATGTCTGAAGATTTTCTTTGACCTTGAAAAGATTACACAATGTGATTACATAGTGTTACAAAATTGATGCACAAATACATATTTCAACAGTCTCAAAACTAGAAGTGTACACAGTAAATAAAAGTGAAACCTCAGTATACAAACGTAGGTGTGGAGCAGTGAAACAAACCTTGCTCGCCCAGGCATCTTCATCCCAGGAAGTGAGCTGTAAGACACGGATTATTTCATTTATCTCAGCACTCATTTTCTCCACTGTGAAATTGCGGTTTTTCAGGGCCTCTTCTATTCCCTGGCTCTTAGAATTTTTTGTGGTTACGAAAATCTTCATCGCTGTGAAAACAACATATATTAGAAAAAGGCACATGCAAGACAGGATCAGTGCTGAAGATGAACCTCTACTGCATTTATACAAAAGTAGTGCATTTGCATACACCATTTTATCTCAAAAAGACTGTAGTTTTAACACAAGAAGCACAGTTATTTGCCATGAACACAGAAACAAATGTCAGGGCTGTTCTGAACAAACGTAAGACATTGCAACTCCAGTTCAAAACAGATAGCAATTTAGAGTGATGTTAAAAATTAACACTGAAAGTACCTGAAATCAGTACTGGCAATAGCTCCTTCACGGTATTCATTGAGTTTACCAGCATAACCCTATGCTCCTGATGAGTTAATTCCTAGTCTCTCATCAATCATTTTGGCCATCTTTGTCATTCCTATAGATTAAAGCAATTGAGCATAGTCATAAATAAAGAAATGTATATTGTCTCATTTGCAACAGTCGAGCTTCCTAAATAAGAACAAAGCATAATGAGTTATGACAACTACACTGAAGTTGAAAATTTAATTCTTATATTAACAGATGTTACATAAGGCACATTCCAGATGCTTCAGAGAAGCCACTGATTCAAAACCTAGCCACTATGCAAAGCAGAATGGATTCCTCAAAATTCTTCTACAGCAATAAAGTAGGAAAATACCTGAAACAACTGCTTTAGGACATGAAGTCACTTCATGAACTCTGGAAACTAGTTTACAGGTTTGGTTTTGGTTGTTTATTTTTGTGGGTTGGGTTGGGTTGGTTTTGGTTTGGTTTGGTTTTTTTTTGGGGGGGAGGGGTTTAGAGCGGGAGTGGTGGGGGTGTGTTTGTTTGGGTTGTTTTAATTGGTTTGTATTTTCTCCTCTCCTGCTAAATTTTTACTGAAGCCTTAAGTGTGAATGACAGAAAAAGGAAACATGAGGGGTTTGTTTGCCCTGAGGTTTTACCAGAATTCAAGAAATAAATCTATTTATACTTCACTTTTGCTAGGGTATTTCAGTGCTCTACAACTACAGAAAAAATTAAGGTTATTTTACAGTAAGTCTATTTTCAATAGGTAAGACTTGTGATGTTTATCACAGAGCACTTGTGGAAACTTCATATGCAGCTTCATAAAAATTCAAGCTGATTTAAACAGGTGCTGCTGTGGTTCTATCCTCTCTCCCTGCCCCCCAAAACAGAGTACATTGGAAAAAACTGTATGCTCTTTAGCTAAATGACTTTTCTGCTGATTAACACCTTACGTATTTTAATAACAAAAAAGTCAAATGAGCTTTAATAACAAGACTGAAAAGTAGTAGAATACCCACTCTGACAGTATAGAGGCCTAAGCTGTGCAGAGCCACCTTTACTTATGTTCTCCTTTCTGCTTCCAACATAAAACCTATAAGCACTTTGTTAATTTTAGGTGTACATGCTCATATTCCTTTTTTTTATATACTGCTCACATTAAGTTCAGACACCCACTGATATGCTGAAGGGAACACAAGGACTACAGGCATTAAATGTTTGTAGGCATAGAAACACAGAATCATTTAGGTTGGAAAAGACCTTTAGGATCGAGTCCAGCTGCTAATCCAGCACAGCCAAGTCTGGGATTTAGGGAAGATTATTTGCAATAAAGGTACAAGCCTGCATCTAAGATATGAAGGCACTTTCCCAACACCTATTACCCTCTACTATACACATGTAATGGTGAATTACGCCTGTAAGGTTCAATGAAAAGTCCCAAATGCTTGTGACTGAGCCAAATAAAGTAAACTGAATTTTGGGGAAACTTCCATTTTAAAGTCACGTAAGACAACAACCACAAAAAAACCTGAAATTCTATATAAAGGACAAGTTCCATGTAAAGAGAAGAAAGCACGAACTGGATAGATTCCTGCTTTCTTTATATAAGTGTTTTTTAGTTCAGTGTAACTTGAATTCCAACATCTTCCTACATTACCACCACAACATCTACATTTTATAGAATGCTTTTGTTAAATACCTAAAGTACTTTATGCTTGCTGTAACTACAGCATTTGGAGCAGTAGCTGACAGATTAATGGTAGGTATCCTCCACATAAACCGAGTGCTTCATTTACCAGTCACTTATTTCCACCAGTCAAAGTGTGAGTTAACATAGCAAAGGTAGCAAGTAGGAAGAGAGCATCAAATAATGAACAAAAAAAAATTCTGTAACAGCTGGGGCTTGTGTATTATACTGCAAGACAGCTATTTCTGCAACCTCATTAAGCTGCTAATATATGACATGGAGCTTACACCACTCCAAGAAATTCCTTCGAGTCTAACCATCTCAGTTACTACATTTTATCAGCTTAAGAGATGTTATAGCTGCAAGTGCTTAATTAAACAGCTTCTTCTTTCTTTTATTTTGTATTTACTAATGTATGCTTACTTCCCTCATATAATGTAGTATAGGAGAGCTACAGCACATAGCACCTCTGTAGTACACAATTTACCAACATCTTGACACTTCTACTTTCGTGAGAACATGAGTCAGGAAACAGTCATCATTCACCCTCTAGTTAAAAACTGTTTCTAACAGATGCTTTCAAAGCAACTGCTTTGTCGCTCTCCAAACATTCGAAACTTGGATGAGAAGGTGCTGGGGGGAAAAGAAGGTAGTGGAAAAGACTATACTTAGTGTGTTTACGATAGGCTGGAGCAAGTCAAACCTGGCCCTAGATTCTTTGTGTATGTCACCAAATCCTCCATAGTCTCTACTACTTCCGCCACAGTCAGATATTCCAATATTCCTTTGCAGACTCGGATGATTTTACGGACCTAAAAAAGGAACATTCCATCACTTATTAGATGAAGCCAAGTTACACTTGAATTAGAAATGCAAGCCTATTAGACTAGAATAGGTATAGCATTTGCTCACAGGACACATGGGTAATCACAAAGGTCTGGGATACTGATTAAATTACCCACAACGCCATTATCCAGGAGTGTTGTATTGACAAAGACAATATTTAATCAGCATTCCACTGCTCAGGAATGCAAAAATCCTACTTCCAGTATTTCATTTTGTATGATAAATGAAACATGGAGAAAATAGGCTACAAGCAAGTGTGTTTAAGTATGCCAGCATGCATTAAGTTTTTCATTGCATTTTCATCAACAAAAAAATTCACTTAAATCACAAAGCAAAACTACATAAAAAGCAGACTCCAAGTTTTCAGAGGAAATATTATTCACCATTCAGCTTTACATATGGATAAAGCATTATCCAGCATTCCAGTAGGAAAGACAGAACCAACATCTAAGCTTTCCAGAAAAATCTGCTAAGACTGTACTTTCTTTACCTCTGGACATCTGCCTCAGCTTAACGTTTTCAGTTCATACTTGATTCCAAAACCATTCTCTGTCTCTGTCCTCCTGAACCACATTATTTCTGACAACACCACATGCAACTCATACTGAAGAATGAGTTCAGATTTAATTTGTAACAACCACATGCAGTGTTCCATCCCTAGAAGAGATCATGATTTCCTCTAAAACTCATTTCAGTTGTGTCCCAGTGTTAGTTTATCTTGAAATACAGTAGGATAGAGAAATGCTAACTTTTCTATTTTTGGTAAGTCAGTCATTCCAGACTAGTATTTTTATTTTGGTTAACATGCAGCTGTCAGACTAGTTCAATGAAGCATCAAATTCACAGAAGTTAACTCATTTCCCAAACACTGGAAGCAGGGAGATTAAAAACTATTAACTTCCTTGCAATTCTGTCCTATAACACTTCATAGTATTTATTTAAAAAACACTTAAAATAATGAGTAATCACAAGTGCCACCAAGAAAAACCACAGCATTCTCATTTCAGAGGAATGTGCTAACGGTACCATAAGCTGATTAAATGGGACAAGGATACCATGTTAGACTACTCAAAACAGCAGGAAGAGTAACACATTTTCACAGATGAACAGATAGTTGCATAGGTAAAATTTAGGGTTAACATCAGCATTTCTAACAATGAGCTTCATTTCCTTATAGTAGCATGGCATTAGCAATTTAGAAAAAAGCAAGAGTCCACGTTCCCAAAAAGAAGGTCATAAGAATAAGAAAGATTTGTTATAAAAACATTTAAAAGGCAGGTTTTGAGTGACTTACATCTGAAAATTTCCTTGCAACTCTGGCTTTTTTGTTCATCTGAGGATGGACAAACAGCACCTCCATGCCACTTTTGGGCTTGTGCAGTAGCCAAAATTTAGCAACTGTTGGATCTATCAGAACATATGTTCTGGCTGACCAGCCAGACAACCCAAATTTGTACATCTTCCATGCCCCAAGGCCAATAAAATTGTCATAGCTAATAAGTCAGACAGGTATGGGAAGTAGCCTAGGGCTTTTAAGTGAAGGGATACAGAGAATGTAAGGATCAGTAACAACTATGAAGAGAATACAGAAAAATTTCAGGAAAATGTCAAGCAGGGTTGATGGGATCTGTCCTTTTTAAGGAATAATCATAGACAACACTTCCAACATTACGCCATACAAAGATGGTCTTAAAAGAGAGTAACATGCCTAAGCTCCTTCTGACAAGGAGGAATGCAAAATATGCTTCCAATCAAGCTAAAACTATCAAAGCCACATTCATCTACTCAATAGTTTAGATTAGCTAATTCAGTCAGGTGAATATTTGAATTGATAATACATTGGTGTAGATATCTATATAATTCATGTTGTGATTCCTACCTCTGCTTCATCAAATGTCAGAAGCAAGTCTGACGTTCCAGACAGGATGCCTCTTGACCCATCAATGAGATAGTCACGAGCTGGTACTGAATAAGGATCTGCTTGCAGCATCTGGGCTGCCCGAACAAGTTTCGTGCAGGCATTCTCCACTCTGTGGAAAGTCAAACAAAGCTAGATGGTTAGTCTGTATCTACCTGACAGCAGACTTGAGAAAACGCTGGGTTTATTTAACTTTATTACTTAAAGCACTGCAAGCAGACTGATCATTTTACACCTTTACTGTTTAAAAAGCAAGAGCATTTATTGTATATATTTTAACAAGAAAGTGACCAGCAACTGTACAACAAAGCTTTTCAGAAGTTATGCAATCTTCCAGTGTAGGGAGTGCTTGAAGTACCCCATGTACAGCAGTCAATACAGTGTCATTAAGGACAGGTTCCAACATGGCAAAATACTTGTCATTCTTAGTAACTGTTTCGTCCCATGCACTTGTCATTATTCTGGAGTTCAAAAAGTTATTGCTAACATTTGTCAGCCTTGTATTTGCACTGTCATTCATGAAGCAATTTCTAATATTAAATACCTATCTATTTAGACAAGAGAACATAGTGTTAAGAAAACTAAGACACTGCGCCCTGCTTGTTAAAGCTGTAATCCAGAGCTTCAGAGCATCAACACTCACCAGACACAGCATTTTAAATAACCACAATATTAACAAGGTATGAATTTCAAATGCAGCTTGCAATTCTAGACTCAAAAACAGAAAAGAGGTTTTGCAAGATATTGCAGTATATAATTACAGTAACACAGAAGGTATTACAATAAGCTCTGAAATTAGGTCCCTTCAAGCCATTTAACACTTCTTTAAAATATCAAGAACTGCAACAGTGAAAAGCTTTTGATTTTCTCTTGTAATTATTTCATGACAGCTTAGAGAAATACAAAATTCAGACTTCACTTCTGTGTTAGCTCTGCACTGTGACCTTCCTCCATTCTCTCCTGCTGCTTTGACAGACATGAGTAGTCTAATATACAGGCTGTATGCGAGTGCCATGTGTTCATTCAAGGTACACAAGGTTCCAGTGAATAGTAAACTCTTTTATTAGAGTAATACTACCTCTTATTACAACTTCTTCATTCTTGTCATATGGCTCACTTTCACTGACTACTTGGACACACTCTTCTACTGCAATTTCTGTTAAGTACTATTGTAAAGTTATGCAGTTATCTCCTTTTCTCCCCCATGTTTCTTGTTAATACAAATGGCAGTATTTAAGGGTTATATCTAAATTTAACTATACTATAAGTAAGACACTCATTGCAAGAAAGCTTTTTTCAGAAAGTAAAACTTTCAGCTAACAACTCCCTCGAGTAGATTGAATTGTGCCAGCTGACCTTATCATAACCCACTCTTTAGTGAGACATCTGCTCAGTGCATTGAGCAGTGGTAAGTCATAACTGAGTAAGAAAACACAGAGGTACTTCAAGGCAGAGCATGGGAATGGCCTTCTCATTGCTATGCAACATACTCAGTCATATTATCCAAGTCAACCGGCTTCACTGAATTAGATTTCTGCACTTGCTTCCCAAAGACATTCATTCCAACTCTGCTAAGAAAGGGATGAAACAAATAACCTATTCAGCCAGCTCAGAGCTATAGGCTCAGAAATATTTCATTTCCTACAGTTTAACATCACGGTCATCTGTTTAATACTAGTAATTATCTCAAGGCTGGCTTTTTCATTTGTAAAGAAAGGAATTAACATAAATGTGTATTACCCCAAATGTCACCATAATGCACAAAAATAAAGTTTCTAAAGTTTTTTTCCTTACAGTTTCTGGAGTTGAGCATCTGAAAGGTAAACTTACATTTTACTTACATAATGTCTATTTTGTTTAAACTTGCCAATGAATCGGAAAGACTTCAAGAGTGTGCACTATGTACCAAAAAATGGAGCAGTATACAAAAAAACAGACACTGTTCATCCCCTGCAAATCATCCATGCTAGGAAACAAAAGATTAGAATCTGGGGGAAACAGTAAATCAACAACTTCAATTTGAAAAATAAAAAACCAAACCAAAAAACAGTAAAAATATTCACTGAAATGAACCACTTAAACTATTGCAAGAACTAAACATTCAAAAGTTTTGAACAGAAGTTGACTGCTACGGTGAATTTTCTAATCCTCATATTATATCACACCCTAAGGGACCCCAGCTATATTAAAAAGAAGTATATTTAATTTTGAGTCATGATTACGATAAAGCTGCTAACAAGAGCCATATTCTTTGTGGTGAAGACACAGGTCATGGTATTTCCAACCACACTACTTTTAGTAGTCGACCAGCTTCCTTCCTGTTAGTGTGTTTCTTATGAAATGTGAAGGGAAAACAATACCTTATGCTAAACTATCGTTTTAGGTTTTAGGACTGACCTCTTTTTCCCAGAGATGTCTGCCTATGAATGCCAGACAATGCCTTTGGTGTTTGAATAACGCTTGTTTCAATTTCTAATAACTTAAGGTGTAGTCACTTTACTCACTAAAGTTTAGATTACTCACAGTTCTAGAAATAAGTTAAAAAGCAAATATTTTACATATGAACATTAAGATCTTAATACAGTTACCAGTAATGCAACTCCAGCTTAGCTACCAAGATAATGTTAATATAGAATAGCATTACTGCTTGATTTCTTAAATTAGTGCACATGCAAGTTAAACACAGACAAATTTTTATTCTCAGTGTAAACAAATCAGGTGTCACCCTATTCTTTTTCTAGAGAATACAGCTTTTTCCTTCTTTGCAAGATATGTATAACAAGTAATATGAGCATTGCAAAACATCTGATGTAAATTATATACATTATTCATATTCCCTGGTGATTAAGACAATAGTCAATAGTTCCAGTGTGTTTCATGTCAGCAGCAAGCAAAGGGATACATGATAGCTTCTCAACAGCCAACAAATTATTTTGTTGCAGTCACACTCCTACTGAAATACTTTACAGATTACCACCATATATATTCATTATGAACCCTCAATGCCATTCTCAGGCAAGTCAAAACCCAAGTTTTTTAAAAGAATAAACATATCTTCTCCTTCACCCTCCAAAACTGGTTCTCTCCAGACTGGTGGTCCTTTTCAGTGGAGAAAATGTGCACAGGGAATGCGATGCTAACTCACAAACACCCCACTCCTTTACCCCCACCATCCACGTGCCAGTACAGGTTCTGCTAGAGCACTGCCTTAAAGACAAACACCAATTCCTGAACTAACACTTGAGAGACAAATCCCCCTGTTCTCAGGAAAGAAAAAAGAACCTAACCCTTATCTGTTTCACTTCCTGCATCCAAATCCTGCCCTTTAATGCAGGAAAAGGTAAGATTCCCTTCATGGCTCACCCGTGACTGTCACTTCTCCGTATAGTACAAGTATCCATGACAATACACTCCACAGTGTTAATAAGGAGCCATTAACTTGAACTAGTTCTTTTGTGTATGTAAACTCCAGACTAACAAAACCAAAAAAAAAAAAAAAAACACCAAAACAGATGCAACAGATAATTCATAAAGGCTATTAAACATTCCTACCTCACGGTATTGCATCTCAGATACTCTTCCTCAGACTCCCCTGGAGAGTTTCTCAAGCAGTAGCATCACCTTGACTGACATACTGGGTGGTCTCAAGTGAGAGACTGTACTTCACTAGTAATTCAGTTTTTTCAGCCTTCAACTCTTAAGCTAGTATCACCTGGTCCTAGGCATTTTTATCATTATTAATTTTGTCAACTTACAATGCAACAAACTACTTTTTCACTAACAATTTTTTTCTTTAAAGATATCTGCTCTTCATTTTACCATTTTCTTACTTGCCTCAATGCGCTCTTGTTTTGGCAGCCTGTTTTGTGTTTGAGGATACAGTAGAATATTTAGTCATTCAGTACATATTGGACAAAGCCAATAGAGAGGTCACTACATTCAGTAGGTTGTAGGGCGAAGTCCCTGGAGCAGAAGTTCAGCCATCGGCACTGAGAAGTTCGGCAATGCCACAACCAGAAGTGATGTCTGATTTTTAAGACCTTTTATGAGTTTTACGGCAGCAAAAAGAAAAAGTTAGTTGTCCTTGACACCAAGCCATAGAATTAGGAGTGTCACTCACTGCTCGTCAGATCTTTTAGGTTTACAGTCAGTTATATCACACATCAGCTGCCTATACTGACAAATCCACACTTTTCAACCAATTAAATCAACAGAAAAGATAAAGAACACCATGTTATCTTTGAAACTGTTAGGCAAAACCACTACAGCACACATTTAAGTAACATTGTTACACTCTTTTTTTTTTTTTAAAGGAAGAAATACCCTAGATATGTAACTGCATATAGAGAATGTAATAGGAAAAGTCACTGCCAGCTGAAAGGTCACTCCTGATAAAGGACAGCTGATGAGCTATTCAAACATAAAAGCATTTTCTAATCTGTACAGCAGAAATTAGTAACAACGATGTAGCATTGCAACAGATTTCCTGTACCTACAATAGAAGATTTACAGTAAAATGAGTTTACTTGATAAATGCTGGTGGCATATCCCTTTTCAAGATCTGGTCTTCCGTTGTCTGCACAGTCTCTTTTCCAACCTGCAGAAGAAAGAAGTCATACTTCAGATTCACAGTTTCACTGAAAAGCCTAGATGAAAACAAACAGCAAAATAGGAACAAAAAAATGGATTTGTAGTAATGATAATTCCTGTCGCTAGGTTTGCTGTTGGTATGTCTGGTTTTGAAACCACTGTATACTGTGGTTAGCCTAATGCTTTGGAAATCATACATTTTTTCCTGCCAACATTTTTACTAAAGTAGCTGTGGGGGGACACTTTTCCCCCTTTTCCCACTCCCTGTAAAAACAATACTATTTGTTTGCTGCACTCAGTTGTAAAACCTTAATCACTGTGAACTCTGCAGTCTTCCCTCTCTCCTAATCCCTGTAAGTCAGAAATCAAGTTCAAAGTTAAAAAAAATTACCCCCATTTTGCTATTCAAGCTAGTCTATTACAAAAACAGTTAATTACTGAGAATACACTCTACATCCACATTCACACCATCCTTTAGGCAAAAATAATTATGCAGAAGCTAATAAAGAAAGAGATAGAGTAAGATCTGGAGTTTTCTATACACTACCTCTTGTGCACAATACAATAGAAGCCTTTATAATTGGTAGCTGGCTCTCCAAACTGTGAGATCACCAACTTGACAAAATATTTCCAGCTCCTTTGTTCACTGTATTTTCCAGCTGAATAAGCTATTCAGAAAGGCATCACAAAGCAGAAGGTCTTTAGCCCAGACACTAGTTTGTGTTAAGAGCTGCCAAGGCTGCTTAAGCTAGACAAGATAGCCCTGAAAATCCCTGATCAGCTGGTGTTTAAAGATTTGCTGGTTTTGACAGAAGTTGTAGTGTGTCAGTATGCACAGCACTTGCCATTTTTAATACTGTACAGTCTTCCAGAAGCACCACTTCCTTGCAAACTTATGCTGCTTGCCAAAAACTGTCTCCCTCATCTGGTCCTTTTCAGAGGGACTTTACAGAAGTACATTGGCTCTACTATTTTATTTCACTCAAAACAGTCAGCCTAACCTACATTTATCTTTTTAAGTCTATTAGCACTGGATGGACTCAGAAGTAGTCAAATAGATATTTATAAAGTAATGAAGGGAAGAACAGGGAGGTTAAAGGTCTTCAGATTTTATTATAGGTTTCTGCATGTTATGTTTGCTGTAGGCTCACTAACAGCCATGCTCCCTCCTAGTACACAACACTGCAGGAGTGAAACGCTGAAGTTAAACCCCCAGCCCTGAACGAGGGTTGGCATATGAATGATGTCCACAACAAGGCAAGAAATTGCTTGGTTTTCCCCAAGGCTCTGGCCAGCCTTGGGTTGGAACTGATTAAGAGATCACTGCCAGGTGCCCCCACCTTCCACACTAACTTGGAGGCAGGGCAAGAAGAGCCTATGAGAGTTGACTCTGCTTGCAGTGCAGGTGGGAGGCTTGTCTATACAGTGCATGTGCTGTGTGAGGATTGTGGTTGTTGGGAAGGTTCCCTGACTTTGCATAACAATTGGAGTTCCCAGGGCAGTGGGGAGAAAGGTATCTCTTTGGGTAACTTCTACATCAAGGGACTCCTCATCTGGTTGGTTCCATGTCCCACAGCATGGTTCATTGGCCAGCTCCCTCCGTTCTTCACATCCTTCGTGGTGAGTGAATGCATTGACTTGTTCCTCCCTCCAGCTGTCCAGCACTTTGGATCTTTGGTGTACAATAGGGTACCAGAGGAAGGACTGTGGCTGTTGGTTTGCCTGTTAATAACAATACCTTTCTGTACTGGGCAAGTGGTCAGCAGAAGAAGTGGTGCATTGACTCCTGGCCTTCATGGCAATGCCTCAGCAGCACAATTGTACATGTATCTCATGCCCTGTTCCTTGGGATAGGCTTACACAGCCCTCCAGAGTATGCCTATGCCTTCTTCTGATTATTTCCATTGCATTCATGAAACACAGCCTTTTTCTTCCCCCCACTTGTTTATGTACACATACATGATAAAGTTGCTCTCTACATCTGTAGCCAAGGTATAGAGATGGCATGTAAAGAACATACTCTGCATTCTATTTAATAGGCAAAGGCTCAAAACATGAAACCACATATGACTAAAAACACACTAATCCAAAAAGTTTTGTGAGGCTTCCTTTTTAAGCTTTGCTGCTACAGTGATTTTGTTTTTGTTTCCTTTTTTTTTTTATGATATCCAGTTTCTTCAGTTCAGACTGAATTTTTACATCATGTAAGAAATTGTGTTACACTGTCATGTGTCCAAAAGAGTAGAGACTGACTCAACTTGGCTTTCACCATACTCCAAAACAAAGTGGATGGAGATACGCACCCCACTCCACCCCCCCTTCAGACACAGTATTTACACATACCCTGTTTTAGACAGCCAGCTCGTTGAGCTTCATGCTAGTACAGAACAATTATCTGTGTAATGTGTAACTTGTATTTTATTTCTGTCCAACAATATGCATGTGGAAAAAAACAGGATTCTTCCTGGGGTTTCAGATATCCTTACCTCCTAGGATAATATTTCCCTAACTAGGAAGCAAGAGCCTCCATGGAACAGAAGCTTCTGCTTTTCAGTAATACTTAAGTGGCTGTTACTCTTGGTTCCAAAGAAACTGTACTGGTTAGCACAGTGAAGACAGTAACTTTTGGAACACTGTACCTGCTCAGAGCAGCACAGACTAAGGGAAGCTCTGAAACAAAACCTCCCAACACAACTTCATAGTTACTTCTACCCACATTCATTTCCATACTCTTCAGGAGATTAGAAACAGAGTTGTTCAACAGATACAAAGAATGAGCTACTTCCCTGCTTGTTTCCTGCTACTCAACAACAGGAAACAAGAGGCACATAATCTATAAATGGAAATAGGACACACAAGTCAAAGGGTATATTGTGGCCACTGAAAAGCCTTCTAGGAACGCAGCAGGAACATCCAGGAGATGGAGATTTCCTGCTGCTTTTGGCTTTTCATCTTGCTTGTAGGTCTTATGCACTCTTATGTGCCACTGATGAGCAGATTTTAAGCTTTCTGCTGGGAAGTATTTTCTCCATGGAAAAGCAAGAGGAAAACTTGCTGATCAGGTTGAGGCTTTTCCTTACAACCAGATTCACAGGTTTTTAAGTCTTCTTCTGCTGCAGGTAAGACAACACATAAGCACCCCACAAGGTTCTTTTCCTGTCTTCTTAGCCTGCTGGATATAGCAAAGAACAGTTCAATGAGAAGGGGAAGTAGTTTCAATTCTCTGCCAACTCTCTACGAGTTTGTTTAAACAAAGACACCACAAACACCAAGTAATATCTAGTTTCTTAGCTTCTAGAGGTTTGAAAAGAAACTGCGTGTATCATATAGAATAAAACAAGTATTTTAATATGAGAGTCCAAAGTTTGTTTGGGGATGTATTTATTTGTTGTTTGGGGTTTTTTTTTTAAACATATTCTTCTGATTACTTATACTGGCAATACCAATTTTACAACTTGCAAAGTGCTGCAAGTTCAATTTTCCTTGCAGCTTATAGGATTTCCCCAGTTCAAAAAGGAAGACAATCTCAGAAGAACAAGTTGTCTCAATGTTCCAGAAGCTAATTAAAACATCTGTAATTTTACCAAACCGCCCTGAAAATTTTCCCACATCATCATCCAGCAAACACACACAGACCTGGCTGTAACACTAAAAAAGCCCCTGGTTTCTCCTAAGAAATAAGCAAAACTCTTACTGTAGCTTAACATATCAAAGTAGCAACCAAAGTGATCCTGTCTGTACACTGTAAAAGCAACTTCACCATAAGGCATCTCCCATTAAAATCCCATTGCTGGTTTATGCATTCTTCCATGTTTTGCAAGCTTCCAGGACAAATAGTGACACAACAATGGGAACATTAAATCCCACATCAAAAAACTGTTACACATCACTACCGTTCTGTGAAGCTCTCTGCAACATCTTCCTCAATTTCTTTACTAATGATGCAAAAATACGCCTGAAGAAATGAACTTAAACATTTGCAGCAGCTCTACACTGACAGCAGTTTCTACATTGCATAGCCATGCCTGGAATTCATCTCAAGACAGAGTTGCCAGTCCTTTTCCCCCACCCCACATTTCAAGAAAGCAGAACTCCAGCCTAGATTTCAAGACTGAACTATCAAACAGAGCAATGAACATGTCAAAATTACACCATATTTATACCTACACTTTGCTTGCACATGTAATTTTCATTTCTGCCCAAACTAAAACAATACCACATGGGCAAAAAGAATTAAATCATTGAAGTATTTTGAATTCAGGTTACAAACTGAGGAGTCTTACACAATGGCAATATAAGGAAAATGACTGAAGGTAATGGTATCCAGTTGAACTCTATGAAAGGTATAGGATGCACATCTCCCCACAAGGCTTGTCCATTGAAGGCCTAGAAAGCAGATCCTTTATCTCAGAATGAGTTCAGAGACAGTTTGTCTCGGTGGACTCAGAAGTGGCAAGGGCTCAAAAGCTACTTGACAATTGTTCAGTTTTCCCTTTGTGAAATAAGCAATTTGAGCCAAATTACACAGAAGGCTTTTGGGAAGGAGCTCTGGCAGCAGAAGAGAAGCAAAACAGTACTTAACTTTTAGTTCCATTGTTATCACAGTATTTTGATTGCAACTAGTGTTCTGCTTATTTACAGTATCAAGTAGATTTAGTTATTGGTATTTCAAGCTATTTTTCTTACCTGTTTTAGAAATGCAGCTGTTGGAGTGAATGTTGTCTTATCATGCCCTAACCTTTAGCTACCATAAACCATGTGGTAAGTTTTAGCAGAACAGAAATGCATACATCTTAGCAGACCAGCAAAGCATAAAATTTTCCAGATGCAAGTCAGATAGTTTTGGGGCACATCACAAAATTCCTTGGTCCCACCTAAATTTCAGAAGTCACTCAAAAATTATCAAATGACATAAACAGCTTTCAATAATGATAGCTCTTTCTGCTTGTCTCTTTTGTTTGATTTGGAATGTTGAATCCTTTAGAAAAAAAAATCTAATTCTAATTCAATAAGAGTGAAGAATCAGTTATAACAAGGTACAAGTTCTTTAAACACA